TTTATAACTAATGTAGACCTCTGTGTGATTTCATTGGGACTAAATGACTGCAGGAACTGGGCAGGACAGAAAAGTCAGTCAAGAGAATGGTGCCCAACATGTGGACAACTGCATCCACATAAAACCTGAGAGCTTGGGAAGTAATTCTAGACACAAAATAACAGTGTTAAGCATGGTTTCTTTCTTTTTTTAAAAAAATATTTATTTATTTATTATGTATACAATATTCTGTCTGTGTGTATGCCTGCAGGCCAGAAGAGGGCACCAGACCCCATTACAGATGGTTGTGAGCCACCATGTGGTTGCTGGGAATTGAACTCAGGACCTTTGGAAGAGCAGGTAATGCTCATAACCTCTGAGCCTTCTCTCCAGCCCCCTTAAGCATGGTTTCTTGATAGCAGCGTTTTCTCGGGTGGGCTCTGTTTGCTAGAGGCAAGCACTCTCATTTAAGAGAGGCTTCCTGACTCAGGTTTAGCTGCAAAACCTGCAGCTCTTTTAAGAGGTCCTGCCATGAAACACTTAAATGGTGTTGATGAAAAGCTGACTGTATGCTTTTTGGTGGGTGGCAGGGACCTTGAAACGTCGTAGAATTGTGGCAATAAACATGACTCCAGCGGGTACCTCCCCCATGAGGCTGGAATCTCAGAAAGCTAAGGAATGAACTGGATCCAGCCATCAAGGCCATGACTTTAATCCTAGCCATATCACTTAGCAAATTAAAGACTCATGTGGTCAGAAAAAGAGACATACACTAAAGACAGATTCAGATGAAGAAAACCTCTGAACAGTTTAGAGCGTCCTTAAAAATATATGTAGGCTTGGGAAAAGTCAGTGAACAATTAACCTTTAAAAGGACTGCTTGGATTACCCCAATGTTCAAAAAAATGGGAAATATGTGAAAATCTGGCTTAGAATATTTGTTATTGAGAATACGGAAAGGTTTAAGTAGAACAATTTATATATATAATATATATTTCAATAAATCTAAGATGTCATCAGTTGTAAAATTATCTTGTACCACAGAAAAAAAAAAGATACCGCCAATGATGGATGATACCATGCTTTCTTGCCATGGAACCAGGTCTTGTTCCCAAGGCTTCATACATGTTCAGCATACACTAAATAATTAGGTATTAATTTATTTTTATTTTATGCACATTGGTGTCTTGTCTTGGATGTCCCCTAGAACTGGAATTACAGACAGTTGTGAACTGCCATGTGGATGCTAGGAATTGAACCTGGGTCCTCTGGAAGAGCAGCCACCCATTAATCCACCTCTTAACCACCCATTGTGTGCTTTTCACCTTAGCCTCCCAACGTGGATGCTGAGACTTCCATTTTAATGCCAGCTTTCGCCCTATCAACAAAATAGGAAAATAAGGCCTAAAGACTCTTTGCTGTTTGAAAGGATTTCATATTGGTCACAGCACCACGTACACTGTAATGAGACAAAATCAGGCTGATTTGCACAATCATTGTCCTGTGTTCACACTGCTGCGTTCATTGTGCCTGGCAGACAAAGAAGAATGGACCTTAGCTTGCCTCATGACTTCAGAGGGTTTTGCAATATCTTGCTGGATGCGGGGTGGTGGCGGTACATGTCTTTAATCCCAGCACTCGGGAGGCAGAGGCAGGCGGACTCTGTGAGTTCGAGGCCAGCGAGTTCCAAGACAGCCAAGGCTACGTAGAGGAAACCCTGTCTCAAAAAACTAAAACTTAAAAACAAAAAACAAACAACAAACAAAAAAAACCAAAAGTCTGTGGCAACAGGAACATGTGGGAAGAAGTTGCTCGCATGGAAACAGTCCAGGGAACGGTACCAGAAGCACTGCCAGATTGCCAGATAGAACCTTCAAGGGCCCACTGCTACTTCCACCAGTTAGGTCTTACCCCCTAAGGGTTCTGCCTGAAGTCAGCGTGGTGCCACCGCTGGAAAGTAGGCATTAAAAGCCGTGATACGGTGGTGTACAACCAAACAGCAAGCAGACAACTGGGGGTTCTGGTGCTGAGGCAGGTGGAGTGGAGGCCATAAGGAGATGCAAACAGATCCTGCTACATACAGTAAGCCAGTCAAGCATGATCCTCTGGTAGGGTTCACCCAAGTGGCAAATGTTGGGGTGTGATCAACTCATGCTTTTATATCTGGGCTTTGGTACCCAGTGCTGTTTCTTTATCTTTCTCATCATTTGGAGTTTGGTACGCAGTGTTCCCTTCCTCTTTCTCATCACCTGGGAGTACCCAGTAGTACTCCTTCATCACCTTTCTGTCACTGTGGTCTGGACCAGATACAGATGTTCCATGCTTTTATTTCTTCTGTTTCGGATCATGTGCATTGTATTTTGTGCACAGTGAATGGAAACCCAGCTTAGTAGAACTATGAAAAGGAACTTGATCTTCTAGACTAACCTTTTTTTTTTTTTTTAATTGAAAAGTCCCACTTTGTAATTTCTTCCAGACCCTAAGTACTTGCTGCAACTAGGGCAGTCTCAAGGCAGGTACAAAGCATTGGAGGAACACGGTTCTTCTCAGATCTCCACAGATTCACAAAAGGAGCTTACACCAACAGTAGAGCACTCCTATCCCAGCATGTGCCAGCACCTGCCTGGAGTCATTTCTGTCGGTGACTTAAGCGAGTGCATTTTGTGTATAGATGTGCATTTTGTGGGGATCTAAGACAATGCAACAGAAAACGATTTTATTCCCCACCCCACTCTTAGAAAGCACCAGAAAGTTTCTGATAAACACTGAGTGTTTGGGAGACACGAAATTCACGAATGTTCATGTGCTGAGACCTGCCTTTCACCACGTGTGTCCTGGTGACTTCTGTCCCAGAGATGGACTTTGCAAATCCCAAGCTTTAATTTAACTGAATACCCAGGGTGCACTGCCCCCTCGTGGGGGATGTTTGCACTCTAGCGCTCTGATGACAACAAGAAAATGATTTTGAGCCTGTTAAAGCCAGCTGGGGAAATCTGCAGTTTAACTCCCAGAGAGCACACACGAGTCCAGCTGAACCCCAAGAAATACGTTACCTTAAGAAGGACCTCTCCCCCAAATATAAACACGTGAAAAAGCCCACTGTGTACATAGTGTCTGTGGTCGTTTTGATGCAATGAGACTAAAGTTGCAACATTGCATCCGAGAGCCGATCTCATTCCTAGCACCAGGAATAGCTCCTTCCCAGGGAAAAGACATGGCTTTGCTTTTAAAGCAAGTAATTGTTTTACAAAAGAAATGTCAAATCCCTCACCTCCCGCCACTTGTCTGCTTGGAAGTTCTGATTTTTACAGCGCGTTCTCTATTAAGGGCTTCTTCACACCATCAGTTATCTTCCTGAAGGACACTGAGATTTCTTCCTACCTTCCTTGCTTCAGATTTACATGGGAGAGAGCCGTTATTCTTTAGAAAGCCTGAGTAAAGCCCTAACTTGTCCTGCAGTGTTGTGTATCATTCAGCTCAGAAAAAACCCACAAGACAACCTTGTAGTCAAAAGACACAGTTCTCCCCACAGGAAGCTGAAGACATTCGCTTCCGTATTGTGTTTTCTTCACTGTTCCTTCTTTATCAGACCTCAGCTGTTCACAGCCAGTTGGATGTCAGCTCAGGAGGATGTCTTAGAGGCACTGCTTCCAATGCATCTGTCTGGAGACAGACCCCGGGTCTAAATCTCAGGACCTCCCTGAAAGTCTGCACTGTTTTGAGGTGTGCGAAGCCAGGAGCCTCTTGGGTTAGGTAGGCAGAACCTGAGAAAGGTGCACAAGCAACGTCAGGTCACTAGCAATACTGGCATAAGCCAGGTAGCAACAGGAGCAGGGTGCTGGCTCTCTCCACCCACAGATAAGGAGGTGTCTGACCTGCTGATCGCTTATCTGGCAGGAGATAACAGTCACACAGAGAAATGTCTGTCCTTGTGAGAAGGAGATTTGGACCTGTTAACTCCTGGTGAGGCCCACCCTGACTGAAGGAAGGCTTTGGAACAATGCCCTGGTAGTACACTCCGAGTGCCCAGAGAAGGGGACCCGAGACTCCCAAGCTAACAGCACAGAGCTCTATGAAGGCAGATCAAGGAAAGCCCCAGGAGCCATAATCTCCTAAAGCTCTTGGAGCCTGAATGAAACTTGCAGGTCCGCTTAGTGAAGTTGAAGACAGGAGAAATGACATGCTTCTCACTTTTTTGTTTTGTTTTCCATGTTTAGGTTACTGTAGCTCGAGAAGCCTCCGAGGGGTCAAGTCAGGGAGAAAACTCTTAGCCTGTCTCTAGAGAGACTTGGTAAGAATCTCTTCCCTGAAGATAATTCATGGCTCATTCTAGTGTCTCCAGAAGTTCTTGTTAGGAAAGCGCTATGACATTGTGAGATCGTTGAACAGGGCCGTCTAAAAAGTAAAGTGTCCAGAGTGCAAACGTCCCCAGGAAACTCAGTGCCCACAGTGAGAGCAGCCTGAAGCCTTGGCGCCAGGAAGCAGCTCGCCAAAGACAAGATTTCCCCCCAGTTCTGATTACTTAGCTCACGGAAGACTTGCATTTCCTGTTTCTGCTTTGCTTTCATCTTTCCTATAAGTAATAATGAGCCTATTGGACCATCTGTACACTTCTCAGGAAGAATGTTTCTCTAAATTGAACTACTTCTTCGTTGCGGCTAGGCTCAAAAATTTAGTTAGGAAATGGGCTCCGAGTCAGCTATGAGTGTGAGCTAATACTGGTGGGGACAGCTGGGCCCTCTTTCATGTCTCTCTCCTTGGCACAATATACCAGGGAGGGCCTATCCTGTTGATGGTGAAGATAGAAGCCCAACACATCAACCCCTGATTCATAGGCCTGTATCCTTTACTGGCCACAACAATTCAAGTAGCCACACTTGGGGTCAAAAGGTTGGGAAACATACTCTACCCCTTGGTGGGAGGAACTGCCACATGGTGAAAGATGGGTATGGAAAAAAATTGAAAATGTATTGACCAGCTACCTAAAATGTGGGAAATCTACAATGACTGGGCCTTATAACAAATAAAGGTGACATTTATTTAGCAATTGCAGAAAGGTGTTTTTGAGGGTGAGGAAATGCATGCATGCTGCAGACACACACGGGCAAGGACTCTCTGCAAAGCAGAGGGGAGACCCAGAAAGCTGAAAATCCCAGGGCATGCCTCCAGTCTGGAGGCGGAGGCAGGTGGATCTCTATGAGTTCGAGGCCAGTCAGGTCTACATAGAGTTCCAGGACAGAAATACCCTTTCTCGAGAGGGGGAATACATGTGAAAATATTTTCATATCTTTGAGTTTACATAATATAGAATCTACTTTATAGCATAAAATGTAGGAAAATATTACAGAGAGATGTAGTCTTTCTATCCAACGTTAGACTTTTAACCTTACAGATACATATAGAACTAAAGCCACTTGTGTGAGGGCTAGAAAAACAAAAGCAAATTTATGGTGTGGAGAATTGATAAGGATACATACAAGGTTTTAGAAGGATTCAAAGGTAATTAATATGAAATTTTATTATGCAGTAGTCAGTTATTTAGTAAATTTTTGTACTAGTTAGAATTATTACAGGAATTTTTTTTTAACTAAGTGAACTCACTTATCATGAATCTTTGGTCTGTGTCAACATTGGGGTCCTAATCATACTTTCAGATTCAGCCGCAAATAGCTTTTGTTAAAATCAGTCACTAAACACCTCTGGGCCCTCTTCCCTTTCACCACCAGCTCTGGCTGCTAGATTTCTTTTAGGGTCATGGGTCACATACAAAACACATGGGGAGTTTTCATGAGCATGGGATGCTTAAAGAAAAACAAAAACTTGGGATGGACGGATGCTGCTTACTTCCTTAGAAATGTTCAATGTCTTCTGAGTGGTTTCGTCAAGCAGTCTACCACCCATGGCTTAGAAAGATCACGCATTAACACAGTGTAGAGAACACTGGGATTGTTTGCAATAATTTTTTTTTTAAAAAAACCTGAAAATTATATTCACGTTGTGAGGGTTTACTCAGCATTCCTAACCTGAACAGTAGCAAAGCAAGACAAGTCCATGCGTTCCTAAGCAACTCAGAGTGCGAAGGACCAGTGGGCCACTTCAGAACCTGCCATCCCGCTGTCCTTCCGGTTTCTCGTGTCCTTCCACGCTTTTATCAGTTGCCTTTATCACAATTCTCCTGAACAGAAATAGAAGTTTCTCAGTTTGTCCTCGTGACGGTAGGGGAGCCATCATGATTGCCCAGGCTCAGGTACACTGCTTGCAGCTCACCACACACGTTGCCCACACTGTTGATGACGTAGTCTTCAGCTCCTGTGATAAGGACTTCCGGTTTTTCTTCTTTTGCATCAGTTCAGTAAACTCAGCCTGCTACTGACCTGAAGATGGCCGATTTGCGAAGACAGTGGAGAGCTGTGTGTTCATTATGTCCTCAGACTTTGTTTTGTTTTGGGGTGTTATTAGGTAGGAATCCTCCCATGAGATCTTTCAAAGAGGCATGGCACATCCCCACCCCCTCTTATAGTTACAAGTAAGTACTCTCAGAGAATCCAGAGTCCACTGACTGGCTAGGGTGGCTGACCAGCGAAGCCCGAGGATCCCATCTCCGTTTCTGAGCTGAGGTTACAGGGATGAGCCACTGTGTCTGGTGTTTCATGCAGGTGCCCGGTCTCGAGGCTCAGGTCCTTATTCTGATTGCAAGCACATCGCCAACTGAACTGTCTTCTCGGGCCCTCGAATCAGTTTCTGTAAAATAACAAATACTTAATTTTTAATGATTATCTTTATTTTATTGTTTAAAGATTTTATACATGGGTCTAAATAAGCTACTCGGCAGTTAAGAGCACTTGGTACTCTTGCCAAGGACCTGAGTTTGACTCCCAGTACCCACAAGGCAGCTCACATCCACCTGTAACTTCAGTTCCAGGGAAACTGATACCCTCTTCTGGCTTTTGTGGGCACCAGGTATGCATGCGGTGCACACACATGTAGGCCAAACACTTATACAAATAAAAATTAAACACTTAAAACATTTTAAAGGTAAATAAATAAAAAAGAATTTCATACGTATATGTGTTTTGATGAAATCCACCTCCCATTTTCATCCTCCCAATACCTTTCCTATCTCCTCTCCTCTGTTCCCTCCCAATTTCATGTGCTTTTATTTGTTGTGGAATATTCCTTTACACTGTGTGAAGTATGTCACTATGGTTAGTTTATTAAAAAGCTAAATAGCCAATAGCTAACTAAGCAGAGAGAATACTGGCAGGACAGAGAAAGACTCCCCGACATTTATTCTTAAACCTACTCAGCCTAATTGGTGCTGCCCGTGTATGCAGGAGTATAGACCATCCCCTGAACAATGGGCACCCCCCCCCCCCCCCCAGTAGGGCCATGTACCTGAAGAAAATGGACTCTCGTGGTGATACTTTGTTTCTGTTATAATAAATAAAGCTTGCCTGAGGATCCAGGGGAGAAGTTAGCAACTAGTTAGACATAGAGGCCAGGCAGTGGCGGCACACACCTTCAATCCTGGCACCAGCACCAGGGAGGCAGAGGCAGAAGGACTTCTGTGAGGTCAAGGCCACATTAGGCTACAGCAGACTGATCCAGTCTCAAAGAGAAATAGAGCCAGGCAGTGGTGGCACACACCTTTAATCCTAGCACCAAGGAGGCAGAGGCAGAAGGATCTCTGTGAGTTCAAGGCCACACTAGGCTATAGCAGGTTGAACCAGTCTCAAAGAGAAACAGAGCCAGGTGGTGGCGGCTCACACCTTTAATCCCAGTATTTAGGAGTCACATGCCTTTAATCCCAACACTAGGGAGGTGGAGACAGGAAGGGAATGGTTGGGTGGAGTGAGGAATATAAGGCGTGGGGAGACAGGAGCTCAAGGCATTTAGTCTGAAGATTTCATAGAGGTAAAAACTCGTGGCTGGCTTCTCTGCTTCTCCAATCTTTCAGCTTTCACTCCCTAAAGTCTGACTCCGAGCTTTTATTATTAAGATCAATTAGAATTTGCACAACTCTCTGCTTCCCATAGCCATCAGTTGCTCATAGCTCCCTACCTAGGGGTGCAGTTTCATGACCCTTTCTTCTTCCATGCCAGGATTTTATCTTGCTTGATCTTGAAAAAGAAATTGTGCATTTGGTCAGTCACTTTGAGTTCATATGCAACTGCCTTTCACATGGAGACAATACTACTTCATTGTCATTCATTGTCTTTGACATTCTGTCCCCTCCGCCATGAAGATTCCTGAACCCTGGAAGAGGGACGTCTTTAGCCCGAGATTAAGGACTCTTTCTGTCTTCTCCAGGATTCCCTGAACCAGAGGGGAGAGATGTGATAAGACTTCCAGTTTAGGGCTGAGTGTTCCAAGGTCTCCCACTGTCTGCATAGTATTTAGCTTTGGGTCTCTGTATTTGTTCCCATTTGCTGCAGAAGGATGTTCCTCTGACAGTGGCCGAGCAAGGCACTGATCTATGAGTATAGCAGAATACCATTAGGAGTCATTTTAAGACTACACTTTTGTGTATTTTTTTTGAGACAGGGCTTCTCTGTGTAACAGCATTCACTGTCTTGGAACTTGATTTGTAGACCAAGGCTGGCCTCAAACTCACAGAGGTCCACCTGCCCCTACCTCCTGAGTGCTGGGACTAAAGGCATACACTACCATACCCTGACCTGTTACTTTTTTTTTAAAGACTAGTAGTGTTTGGTTTTACCATAGGTCCCTGAGATGTATAGTCTCAGCTTCTTGGTCATCCAAGCCATGCTGGATATGGGTTCCTTCTCATGGGTGGGCCTTAAGTCAAATCAGATATTGGTTGGTTACTTGTACAGGCATTGTGCCGCCACTGCATTGTAGACAGGACACCATTGTTGTTTCAAGGGTTTGTGGCTGGGTTGGCGTTTACGTTTCTCTTTTGGTAGTGTGAAGAGTACTGTAATTGATTATCATCCACAAAAGTACCCCCAAATAATTTAGTGGTGATTAAATAAAATTCAATAACTTTAAAAAATAGTTTTGAAGGATAAATTGTTAGAACTGACAACTGAATAGATATTGATGATGAATTTTGAAAATACGGTATTTACGTATTTTATCCTAGATGAATGTTTAAACTAAGGGAACCAAGAGATGACTCAGTTCGGTAAAGGTTGGGAAGAAAAGGATTTATTGAGCTTGCACTCCGTATCATAGTCCATCATTAAGGAAGTTAGGACAGGAGCAAACAGGGAACGAACCTGGAGACAGGAGCTGATGCAAAGGCCACGGAGGGGTGCTGCTTACTGCCTTGCTCCTCATGGCTTGCTCAGCCTGCTTTCTTGTAGAATCCAGGGTCATCAGCACAGGATCAGCATCACTCTCCCATCAATCTCTAAGTAAGAAAATACCTACAGGACTGCCTAAAACCTGATCCTATGGAGGCATTTTCTTAATTGGTTCTCCTCTTAGTCACTTTAGCTCGTGTCAAGTTGACATAAAACTCTCCAGCAGTTAGGAATGGTGGCACAGCCAACAAACGTGAAGCGGATTGTGAATTGAAGGCCATCCATAATACATGAGACTCACTGAAAAACAGAAGCAAAATAACGAAACCCGGGCTTGTACTCTGCATATGGCCATGACCCCATTTAAAAATTTGTTTTACTGTGTTTCATAAGTATCCCTTAGCCTAGCATCTGGCAGACAGGCAGCAGACCCTACCTAGTCTAGAGCAGCCCCTCAAAAACTTAATCTGAGCTCTGGACCCAGTTTCTGGCAAGGGAAAGATTTGAACAAAGCTGTAGGGAACACTCAACTTGCTTCTGGGGCGGGTGAGGGCAGAAGCCTAATCGCCACAAGATGTTAGCGCTTCCTTCCTCAACCTTCTCTTCCGGGCGCCGGGTGTGAGCCGCGGTACTGAACTACGCATGTGCGAGCCCCGGAGCGACGCACCGGTGGCAGGCAGAGGCGGAGTCATGGCGTCATCACCGTGCGACCTCTTTCCCGGAGCCAGTCGTCCACGTATTGAGGTATAGTGCAAAGCTGGGTTCGGGTGATTGTCGCGCTCCTGTCACGGCCCCTTTTCCGGCGTCCCGGGATCGCGTCCGTCCTGTGGCCGACTGGGGAGCCAGCGGGGCCTCGGTGCCGCTAGCGCGGTCCCGGCAGTCCCCTGAGCCTGGCAATGGCGTTCTCAGGCTCTGCCTTGCCTCGGCCCCTGGTTTGACTCCCAACCCTGCCTTTGTCCTTCCTTTGCTTGTTAACGTTGCCTTTCAAGGGTTGAAAAGCGACAAGTGAAAACTCAACGTCTTCTGTTTTTTGGCTGATTTCAAATCTAAACGGAGAAAGGCCGTGATGGAAGGCGAAAAGAGTAATGTTCCCATGCACTCCTTACTATTCTGCCCGAGATCGGAACGCTCGCGGTGGCAACGTTAGCTCACTTGAGATAAAGGCTTCTTTAATTTATTTATTTTTTTCATTTTTGGAGACTGGGTTTCGTTGTGTAACCCCGGGTGTCTTGGAATACTCTCTGTGGGCCAGGCTGGGCTCATACTCAGAGGCTCGCTTCCCTCTGCCTCCCAAGTGCTGGGATTAAAGGCGTGCACCACCGTGCCCTGCCAACATCAACAGTAAAAAGAGTCAGGCCCTATGGAGCTGGAATTACAGGTGGTTGCGAGCTTCCCAATTTGGTTGCTGGGAACCAAACTTGGGTTCTCTGGAAGATAAACAAGTGCTTTTAACTGCTGAATCACCTCCAGCCTTGTAATTTATGTACTTTTTGTTGCTGAACTTTTGGATTTTGTGTGTGTGTGTGTGTGTGTGTGTGTGTGTGTATTTTCTCATCTGCAAGAATATGTGCATGTGTGTGTATGTGGATGTCCGAACATGATGGCTTCATCCATCCTTCAGTTTGTTTATTGAGTGGCACTCCACAATGTTTTTCATTGAACCCGAAACTCACTAACTTCAGCCATTCTAGCTAGGATGCTAGGTGATTCCCCGTTTCTACCTTCTGAGTGTTGGGCCTCCTCCGTACCCGTCCCACATTTATGAGGGTGCAGGAGATCTGAATTCCAGCCCTCAAGCTTGGGGTGGGGGCAGATGCTTTATCCAGTCAACAATTGCTCTAACTCCTGTGATGTGTGTTTAGAGGTTAATACACTTGAAAAGGAAGCCGTATATATTCTCAGACTTTACTGAAAATTGCAGGTAACACTAGCAGAATCACTGTTTGACCAAGACAGTAGTGTTTACTGAGAAGTGAGATATATTTTCTATGGTAATGTTGTATAAAATGTAATTATAGAAATAGAATTATGGTGCCGAACCTGCAAATTGCTTTCTTGTTACAAAAATCCATTAAGTATATGTTGGATTTTCTTTCTCTCACTAATGTGGTTATTATATGGAACTCTAATTGCTATGGAGATAAAAACAGCTTCCAAATATACATTACCATATATTTTTCTCCTATATCCATGTAGTAACTTCTAGTATTTGCAAGTCCAAACTGTGACATGATGCTAAGATTCTCCAAACTTGGGTCCCAGTTAACTCTGTGTATGTGGGAGGGGGTTGGGTGTGGGTATAGAAGCTGTACTTTGAGAGTGTCTGTGTGGGATGTAGAAGCTGTACTTTGAGTGTGTATGTGAGGTGTACAAGCTGTACGTTGAGAGTGTCTGTGTGGTGTAGAAGCTGAGTGTGTGTGTCTGTGGGGTGTAGAAGCTGTACTCTTGAGTTTTCAATTTTTCTGGGCTCATGGTGTGTGCTACGGTGCTCATGATGGTGAGCAGTATAAGCATGGATCCAAGTGACTCTTGTGATCTCGAGGATAAATTGCATAGTATGTAGTGTACTGTATTAAATAACTTACGTGAGATATTCAACACCTCAGCACTCTGGCCTTGGATCAACTTCTTTTTTCTGTCTGCATTTATTCCTTTAATGATTAGTTCCCATCTTACGACTTTAAATACCATCTGTTCATTCACAATTTTCAATTTTTTATTCAACCAGCGACCACTTCCTTCAACTCTAGACTTCTTATACTTAGCTTCCCCCCCAACACTTCCATCTGATGACTCAGCAAATATCTGAATACTGTTCTGCTCCCACAATCCTGCCCATGCTGTTTTAGGGGAGATTTTGAGGTTGTTTGCTTGCTTGGTTTTGTTGATAACAGGACTTCACTATACAGTCTAGCTGGCCTTGAACTCAGGAGCTCTGGCCTCAGATTCCCAAGGCTGGGGTCGTAAGTGTGCACCACTGTGTCCGCTCATATCTTGGTTAGCAGCAGCTCCGCTCTTCCGGTTGTTTCACCTTATTCTCGCAACCCACGATCAGCCCCCAAGTGGATTCTGCTGGCTTTGCCTACAAAATCCAACCCAAGCTGGACCGCTGTCCTCCACCTTCAGTTCCTTCTGCCTGCTTAGGTTCATAGCTGATGCTCTCATTTCATCCTCCATAATTAGTCTCCTAGAGTTCATCCATCCTGTACAGCAGCCAGAGTGGCCCATCTGTTATTGTTTTACTTGCTGATCTCTTCCCCTTTCGCCTTGCCACACACCTCCCAGTCAGCTGGATTCCAACACATTTATTAATTTGTTGAGAACTAACTCTAACCATCCTAACACGCATACAATATATTTTAGTCATATTCACTCCACTCCTCTCCTCTCCTAACTCCTCAGACTCCCCACCCTGACCCAGTCAACTGTTTGAAGGGTGCTTTAGCAAGTCCTCTTTCCTGGTACCCACAGCCGATTCTGCCTCCATGACTGGCCTAGCTCCAGAGTTGTAGGGATTTTACACATGTAGATTAAGGACAGAAGCAGAAGCTTAATGTGGTGTTGGTGTGAGGGAAAGAGAATTAAGGCTGAAGGATGACAGGGCCAGACTTTGAAATTGCTTTCATGTTGTATAAAAGAGTGTTTTGTCCTGAAAGGATACGGAGTCATTGCAGGGCTCAGCGAGCTGAGTGTCAGTACCTAGTTGGGGTATTGTCATGAAGACTCCTCCCCACATGCTGTCTTTGTCTACTTGAGTCCATTCTGAAGAGTGTTTGGAGATGGGTTTGCTTTCCTCGGGTCTTGTTATGCCTGCTAGTTTGCAGTGTCAGGACACCCTATATCTCCCTATGCCATTGTGATTTTGTGTTTCTGTGATTATTGGATTAAGGTGATTCATCTGCAGTGAGCACAGAAGCTCAGGGTCCAGGTTTCTGCTCATCAATGCATTCCAAGCATCAGGGTTGTTTGTTGTCCAATTCTGGATACCTGTGTGGTGAATGAGCAAGCCCTTGTGGCTGGCGAGCAAGTGTTCAGTAAATGCTCTTTATTGATATGCCAGTGTACACTGCAAGCCGAGGAGAGAGTGCACAGTCGGTTCAGGAATGAATGAGGGAGTTGATAGTGCTCCCAGCCGGACTCTGTGTTTGTGTCCTCAGGAAGGCTGGTGCACCTCGAACTGGAAGGGTTACTTACCTAAGGCTGAGAATTGCAGGAAGGCTGGTGCACCTTGAACTGGAAGGGTTACTTACCTGAGACTGAGAATTGGCTGGTGGGCACCAACGGAAGTTAGGTTTGTGGCGGCTTCTCTGAGACAGCTGGTGGGAGGTGTGACCATTCAGGAAGCTAAGAAGAGGCAATGAGATAGAGGAAGAATTAGCCCCAGGGAAAAGAAGACATTTTGGTTCTTTGAATGTAGTAGTGGAGCTAAAGAGTTGTAGATTTGCCTATAGCTGCTAAGTAGGGGGACGTGAGCGTCTATCTGTCATCTCCAGTAAATTTCAAATTGTCAAACATGTGAAGCTTTTATTATATATTTGTTTTAACACTTTGCGTAAATCTCCTATAGTCCTAGTTCCAAGAATGTTAATAAGGTCTGCCGTCTCACTTCCCTGCTTTTGCATTCCTGGAAAAAAGGAAGTATCAAATCCAAAAGATGCTTAATTAAATCAAATGGCTAATGGTGAAAAGGGCCTGTTTGTGGCCACCTTTTATTTACATTAGATGTTGTTTCACACATGAAAAATGGCATTTTGTTCTCGTGGCTTCCTTGGTGAAGTTGAGTAGTTTTCTTTGTAGTCATCTGGATTCTTTTGTGAGCTGCTCGCCTCTTTGTCTACTTTCTTTGGAGCTGTGTGTAGTTTCTGCCTGTTCGTTAAATTGATTTGCAGAGGCTCTTTCCTGTTGTGCCACAGTTTTATTTCCTTAGTATTTTGTTTGGATTTAACCTGATCTATGTGTTTTCACATGGATACATTTTAAAGAATTAGATAAACATAGAGGGATATTTTTGAGGTTGGGGTGTAACTTAGAGGTAGGTTGTGTACTTAGCATTCTTGAGACTTTGGTTCAGTTCCCAGGCAGCTGCCCTGCCCTGCCCATTGAAATGACATTGTCTTAAAGACTTGTGTACCATACTCCAGTGTTCTGAAATGTCAGCCTCTGTTGCCAGCGGTAGAGTTACGAGCGTGATTGAGCAGCTGTGCAGGTACGGCGAACACCTCCTTCTCCTCCCCTCCTTGTAAAGCTGTGTGAATGTTTTAGGCTGCACCTCTTCATCCTGCAGTGCATGACCTGAGCCTATGCCAAACTCAGTTAGTGTCATAACTGCTCTCCAACTTCATTGTATAATCTGCATAAATTCTTGTTTTGCACTTAAGTTTACTTTATGAAGGCTACTTTTACAAGTTCATGGTTTTTATCACTGTGTACTTCAGTATATATCCTTAGATGGCAGACATTATATATCTATAATAGTATTTTCATATACAACAAAATTATTCATAATTTTGATAATGACCTTTACAGATCCATGAGATCAACTAGATTATTTTATGAATGAAAAATTTGAAGCCCAGAGAGATTTAGTGATTTTTTTTCCCAAGGTAATAGAGTGTTCAAACAGGTGACCCTGAAAGTTCAAATGTCTGAAGCACAACCGCCCCCCCCCACCAAAAAAAAAAAACAAACCCTTGGCATTCAACTGTTGTTAAGATGCTTAAGGACTATAAATGCATATAGGAACTTGAACTTGATAAGTAATTTTTGTGATAGTTGATAAAGATTTTTCATGTCTAGGATTTGTTTTTTAAGTTTAATACAATGAACTGTCAGAATGATCCTAAGTTTTCAAAAGCTAAATAAAACATAAATTTTTCAAACTCACTTTGTTGATTTCTTCAGCACATGTTAGAGGTTGTTTTTTAAAATCAAACTTTCAGTTTCAAAAAAATTTTGCCTTCATTAGAATGCTTTTTAAAACTGTAGTTTTTCCTTATTATTGTTTTTTCTGAGATGGCTGTAACATGGAGGGGCCCGGCTGCTTGTTTGTGGTTTCTGTCCTGTCCTGTCCTGTCCTGTCCTGTCCCCCAGCCGTTTAGTCCTAAAGAAAATCACACAGGGGTCTCCATAAGTTATAAGCAGATTGGCCCATTAGCTCAAGCTACTTATTAGCTCTTGTAGCTTATATTAACCCATTATTCTGATCTATGTTAGCCATGTGACTCAGTACCTTTTTCAGTGGGGCAGATCACGTCCTGCTGCTTCCTGGTCTGGGCAGGAGTGGGAGGAATCAGCTTCCTCCTTTCCAGATTCTCCTGTTCTCATTGTATCACCTCTACTTGCTGTCTGGTTTTCCCACCTTTACTTCCTGCCTGGCCAATCAGCGTTTATTTAAAACATGATTGACAGAATACAGACAATTCTCCCGCACCAGATGGTTGTCTTACTTGCAGAGACTGGCCTTGACCTTACCTACAGCTGAGGGCAGCCTGAATCTTATTCCACTTCTCAAGTGCCTGTGCCACTAAATCTGGGTAAACATGGGTTTTGCCTATTGATATGTAGTGTTAGAGCTTTGAAGGTCTCCAAGGCTTGATGTGTGACCTGGGTGGGCTTTTTCCCCTTTCCCAGAAAGGAGGTGTGCTTAGGAGGAGATGGTGGAAGAGATGCCGGAAGCTGCTGTCCTAGACTTGCGTGCTCAGATTCGCTTACCACCCTTACTCAAAAGTAAAAGTGCTTTTTATTTTCTTTCTAAAGCTCTGTCTCCAATATGAATTCTGAGATTTCTTTTCCCAGTTGGTCAAAATGGCAGGTGAAGAAATGAATGAGGACTATCCTGTGGAGATCCATGAGTCCTTGTCGGCCCTGGAGAGCTCCCTGGGTGCTGTGGACGACATGCTGAAGACCATGATGTCTGTTTCTAGGAATGAGTTGTTGCAGAAGGTATTCTTGTTTATTTTTGAGACAGGGTTTCATGGCATAGCCCTGGCTGTCCTGTAACTCACTGTGTAGACCAGACTGGCCTTGAACTCACAGAGATCCTCCTGCTTCTGCCTCCTGAGTGCTGGGATTAAAGGTGTGCACTTCCACAGCCTGGTAGCAGAAGGTATTTTAAAATCTGTTTCCTGAAGATGAATTTTATAAGACAGAAACATGTGGAAGAAGCAGTCGATTGACACTGTCCGTGTCCATGTCTTCCTACTGGAGTTCCAGCTGTGTTGGGTATATTTATCTAGAACATACTATAAAACTTTTGCATTGGAAACTTTTTTTTGAAAAGCAAGGACATTCATAGCCTTCTTTTTGACAGAATCTATCTTTGACCTTTTAAATATTGTATTGATATTATTAGAGTTTCTGGAAACTCTGAAGTACAAAAACAGTAATTAAATAGTTTTTTCTGTCTTTTGTATTGCCTAAGCATTTTTCTCCTTCCCATATGTAACCGAACCATGTACAATGCTTATGTTGACATAAAAGTCCAGATTTAACTCTGAAATTGATATAATTTAGAAGAACTTTTCTTGGAGTGTAAAAATTCCTTGTTTAATCAAAAATGATACCCTGAAGTGAAAATTTTTAGCAAAACAACAACAAAAACACTGGTTATATTTGGGTATATGTGTGTATACATGTAAGTTTACAATAGCAGCTGATGGATAAAAGGCCATGAATATGAAGGAAGCAGGGAGGGGTATAGAACAGGTGGGGTATGGAGCAGAGAGGCTATGGAGCAGGAGGAGTATAGAGCTAGAGGGGTACCCAGGAGGGTTTTGAGGGAAGAGAGAGTGGGAGAAGTGTTGTAATTAAAATACAATCTCAGAAATAACTGAAAAGAATCACTGGTTTTTGTGCAAATTATTTACTAGATCATTGTATTATTGGATTTTAGGAAGTGAGAAAACTTGCCTTTGATACTGTGTGGTTGGGAAAAGTTTGAAGTGTTATCTGTTGATGTACAAAGTTTGTGTGCATCTCTCATTCTTCTGTCTCTTTCCCTTTACTAGTTGGACCCACTTGAGCAAGCCAAGGTGGACTTAGTTTCTGCATACACATTAAATTCAATGTTTTGGGGTACGTATGTTACTTTGTAGTTTATTAGGAAGTATATTACTGTGCCAAAGGTGGTTTGCTTTTAAGAGCTAGCAGTCAGCATAGAATTATATTTTATAGTAATTTTATTATTCAAATGTTTTTTATTTTATGTCAGTACAGGATGCCTGTGATCCACACACTAACTTAATGTTTCATAGAGATTAAATAATTTGAAATTGAATTAACTGTGCACCCTTCCTTCCATGAATAACTAGGGGTTCTTTTATTATAACGCTTAATATTATATATACTACTTTATTTAATGCTGTCTTTCTCTTATAGTTTATTTGGCAACTCAAGGAGTTAATCCTAAGGAGCATCCAGTGAAGCAAGAATTGGTAAGACGTCTTTGATTTATCCCTATTTATAGGTCTGCTGTATAACTCTGGAATTCCAGACTTATGGCCGTTATCACACTGATTAGGGGGATCAGAATTAGGGCAGAATGGCATAATTCCAGTAATTATTTATAACTTTCATATTATTTTTCCTATAAATTGTTAAGATTTTATTCATCTCCGGGGCTACTTAAGAAAAAAAAAACTCTTAGACAATTCTTAAAAGTGTATTCCAGTTGATTTACTAGCAAAGATGGGGAAATTTCTCTCCTACCTTTTCAATTCCTCCATTAACTCATTTTCTCAGCAGTAAAGAATTCAGTTCAGCAACAAAGCTAAAAGCTTTTTTGGCACCAGCAGTGTGTCTGCTGTCCAGTAATTCTGCATCAGTGACATATTTACAGCCTGCAGTAAATCTTCTAGGTGGTCTCTGTGTTCCATTTAGATGTATAAGTACACTAAATAAGATCTAATATCTTAGAGTTTTTGCTGACTTCAAATATTAAGTCAAATCGTCCAATTCGAAGGAGAAAAATAGAAATCAAACATAGTTACCTTACTGACTTGGCTTCATGAATAAGAATTTTAATGAATTTATTCTTTGTGTACATAAAATGTAATGTACATATATATGCAAAGCACTTGACATTGTATCCCGTTTTCAAGTCTTATAGTAGCCAGTAAAGTGTGTTATTTACATCTTAGTAAAGCATATAGGTAATATCCTTAAAAATAAAATGAGTAATTCAGGCCTCTTATCTTCATTTAAAAAAGTGTATAGATCAGGATATTTTCTTCTTTTAAAGTTCTTGAGGGAAAAATAACTTTATACTTAGAAATATAGCAGTTGTGAAACAATTTTAAGAGAAAGGCATAAAGGAATATATATAGATTTTATTTGATTTATGATACTGGCTTGAAGAAGTAAGGTTATCTTTCTAGCTTTCTAATGGTGTCCTTTTATGAAATTATTTTTAACCCAAAGTTATTTCCAGTACTCAATATTGTGTTTGTAAAAGGATAAGACCATTTGTCTTCATTCTCCTTCAGAATCTATTTCATGGAGAGCATATTAATTTTCTGGATAAGGATTGGCAAATAAAAAGCATTCTGAAGTCTATTACCCTTTTCTGACCTTGCAACAGACATTGCTAATTGATCCCAGAGTTAGCGGAAATCTATTTGCTATTTGTCATCTGCATCACAAGTGGGAAGCAGTTGCCTTCTCCATCTAGTGATGTTTGATGCCTACTACGAGCCTGGCATCGTTTTCGATGCCTTGGAGAAGAAGCTGAGGAGTGTGGCAGGTGCCACACACACAGTGTGATAAGATGAACACTGCACATACTGACTGTGCAGGGTGCTCAGGGGTATTTTATGGGGAAAGGAGACAGCAGAGCAGGTGTAGTGGAGTGGGGTACCTGGTAAAGTGCCAGTGTTGAATGGTGAGCTGAGGAGCTACTGACAAGACTGACGGCGGAGCAGACTGAAGAGAGCGGTAGCTGCATGGATTTGTCACCAGAGCAGTGCGGAGGGCGCAGGCCCCAGGGCGGGTCTGGGGTGGTGTGCTGCTGTCTAAGGGTTTCAGCTTTCACACGAGATAAAGGAGCCAGTAGAGGATTTTGAACAGTTATTCAGTTTAGTAATGAAACACTTGTAAAGTTCTGTATTTTACTGCGTACCTTCATATATCTCTCTTATTTCAGTGACACTCGCTTTCGAACAGTGATCAGCCCCTTACTGTATCGTATGGTTTCATCAACTTTAATTCATTATTTGAAGTATAAGATTTATCTATTCTGAGTAATATTCTTAGGAGATTTAAAGTGATCCAGAAACCTATTATGTTTCTTACCTTTATTAAAGTCTGTGTATTTTATTAGAAATCTTCCCATGCTTACCCATCAAAATTATGAAATTGAATAAAAGATCTCCTATTTCATTCTCCTATTTTAGTTGTGACACTAGACAGTAACGTAAAATAGATATAAATACAGTCCCACGCATTTTCTGTTAAGAAAAATGGTGGGAGAATTGAATTGGTTGGTGTAAGAATTTAGATGAATGTGAATTAAGACAGTAGATCTGGCATGTCAGCCAGTCATTGTTTACTGCTGTAGTGATACGCTAGCATGAGCCTTTCTCTGGAAGAGTTCAGAACTCTTCTAAAATGTTTGCTTCTTGGTTGTTGCTTTTTTTAGACAGGCTGTTGTAGAGCCCAAACTGCCCTCAAACTGACTGACCTTGAAGTCTTGATCCTCCTGCCTCTGCTTTCCAAGTGGTGGGTGCATCCCCATGTCCACTGAAGGGAGTTTGAAGCTTTCCTTCCCCTACACTGGTCAAGAACGCAGGGGCACGCCAGCCTGTTTGTTTGCACACACTAGTCCTGTGGACTTCATTGCCAATAAATAAGTACTCACTGTTGGTTTTCACTGAGCAAGAGTATAATAAAACCTGAAGATAGTGAGCAGCTCTGGAAATCATTGCCTTTTGTTTTTCTTTCTTTTTACCTCTAAGGAAAGAATCAGAGTCTACATGAACAGAGTCAAGGAAATAACAGACAAGAAAAAGGCTGCCAAGCTGGACAGGGGTGCTGCCTCAAGATTTGTCAAAAACGCACTCTGGGAACCAAAACAGAAAAATACACCAAACGTTGCTAATAAAGGGAAAAGTAAACATTAACCTTCTGGCTTTGATGTACATGTTTTTAAAAAGTACATCGTTTTTATCAGTTTACGAAATAGGTAGTTACGTGGCAATGTGAGGTTTAAATGGATTCCTTTTTGAATTCATACCGAAATTTACACATTAAATTTGTGATACTGAATCTTTTTTTTTGCTGTGAAAGATTAAGTTGTCTTTATTGATTTTCATATGCAGTATCATGATGTTTTTAATATTGTAAGATATTCTATAAGCAATTGTGAAATCCAAATGTTCTTTGTAAACATTTGTAGTGTTTTAAATGAATAATGATATTATGAAGTGTGCTGTCTGTAGACTGGAGATCTAAGGACATCTGTTTTCACTAATGGTGATAAATACAATGACTCAAATACCCATTCTGTTTTCCGTGTAGTTAGTTCAACATATTTCTGTGATATTTTTTTTGCAGTAATTGCTTTCTTGATATTCAAAGTACAAAATTGAAACCTTAAGGCTGTACTTTAACTCTTCATGTTCCATTTAAAATAAAATATTCTCATTACCACTGATGGAAAATAAGATGTCCTATCCTGGCTTTGACGTGATTCCCTCCTAATACAGGCTGCTGTCTAGCTCCCTTGCTTCTCGCTAAGCACAGGAAAAGGGAGCACGCTCTCCAGATGAAGGTAGGCGTGAGGAGCTGTATCCAGTAGGCTGCATTTATGAGTCACGTCCCTCAGTTTTCTTTTAGATGTGTTCTGACTATATGTTTCCTAGGCCACATTTCCTTAGGAATATTTTGAACCAGATTTCTTGATTGAATGCTGCCCCTTGAGCACAGGAGGAATCACCTTGTATTTACTTTCTGATTTATTTTTCCAGAATATTTGTGAGAGAGTTAAACTGTTTTAGTGACTGAGCCCTTATAGCCTTGCTGCTCTCAGCCCACATCGTCCTGTGTAGGATGCCAACTTTAGCTAAGTTCTTTACTTTTTGAGAATAACAGTTGTTGAGATTGTCTGTGATTAATTTTCCACAACTAACTTTGAATATATAAATTTCTTGATTCATAGTATCATGTAGTGGGCTCTGGAAGGCGTGTTGGAATCTGCGATATGTGGAGATTCATTCCCGTATGGATGCAGACAGCCTCCTAGCTCTGCTACCAGATACTTTTTTAAAGTGCAAACATGCTTAGGAGCATTTGTACTTATTTCACTCTTTGCCATTTAATTCTGTCAGATTTCTAGCTAGTTTTCAAGTCACTTCATTAGAGAAATAAATGCTTTGTTCAGATAATTATAGAATACATCTTAATGTTCATTGTAGAGAAGCTTTTTTTAAATTTCATAAAGAAAACATTGTAATGAAAATTGTCACATGATTGCAGAAAATCATTAGCCAATGTATTTGTTTCTGAAAGTCCAGCTTAGCAGCCCATTAAATTGGATCTCTTTAGTAGCAGTTTATTGGGTTATTTGATAAATTAATACCCCGATGTCCTTGTTGCCAAGTTCTGAGCTCAGTCCTAGAGATGATACCTGCAGCTCTTGTGCTGTTTTAAAGAAGTATTATGGAACAATCTTAGTTCAGTATTTCAGAGTTCTGGGAAATTTCACTCACTAGCCTCATCCAGAACTACACAGAGTGGTGGGCTCATCAAATTTATAAAATGGTTATTAGTAACAGCATATTCCAAGTAATGCTTTGCCCTAAGGGTAAGTGTTAATTGTGTGTTTTATGGCCTTGGGACTCAGCACGTTAGAGAGGTCCGTAGCTGTGGGTAGAATTAGAGAGGTCGTAGCTGTGGGTAGTCTTTAGGTTAGATTTGTAGATACTGATCTTATCTTTTAATATTTTAAAATTTTCTTCTCCTTCATAGTTACAGTGGGAAGTAAAATATGTTAATTAAAATTTGAAGGTTGAATCATGATTTACATTTCTGGAGTTAGGTCCTATCAAGTAGGTGGGCTTTTCAGAAACTGAAGTATTAAATCTACCCAGTTACTAAAATGGACTGGTATTATTTCTAACTACAGGTTTTTAAATTATTTAAAAACACGAATACTTCAGAAATGGACAGTGTACTGAAGATAGACACTTTTTTCTTGAAGTGAAAGATACTTTGGGATTAATCAGTTTATGATTCTATTAAATTACAGTTTCATACAATAAATTCCCAGGACTTGTGACTTTTCAAAGTCTTATTGACTGAGAAAGACTTGGGTGGTGATTCTGAACATTTTTAAAACTCAGCTTCACATACAAGAGGAAGAGAAACACCGACCGTCCCAGCATAGTAATAACCCTGTTTATAAGTTTCCGTGCCCCCCCCCCCCCCACCCAGTGACCTTATGGCGTCCTGGCTTGTGTGACTGCAGGGAATGTACTGCACTGCTGTGAACACTCCAAGGTCAGTTTCAGAACTACAGTCGGATGTTGTTTAGCTAATGAGTACCTTAGAGTTGTCATAAGCAGTTGTGGCTTTACATAGGGTTAAAATAGAACTTAACACATTTGGCTTTTAGAAGAATTTTTAGAAGATCTTGGATTTTTTTTTTCTGTTGTGTGTTTGGAGATTTGTTGTTAAAGTGAGCTAATTGTCACAGTCTGCTCCTTGGAGCCCCTATCTTTGACTTGATTTGCCTCTTTTAGAATGCTTATATTGGGGTGTAATGTTTTTAGTTCATTATTTTTGGTGTTAGAGATTGAACCAAGCCCTTGAGCATGCTAGGCAAGCACTTCATTCCCAGTTGCACAATTTAAAATATAACCACATTAGTGAAGCTATTTACAAAAGGGCAGCTACGATGAAGCTATTGACTTTTTAACTTTTAATCCCACCTGCCTCCCTACCAAGGCCAAAACGCAGCCAATTCTGGTTCTTCTGGCTCCCCCCACCCCGCCTTTTGAGACAGAGTCTCACTGTGTAGTCCTGGGCATTTTGTATTCTTGTAACTTGCTGTGAAGAACTGACTTTCTGCCTCTCCCTCCCAAATGCTGAGGGCAGTTTGATGCTACCACACCCAGCTCAGTTCTAGTTCTTGAAGGTTCATTTTTATTCTCTGTGTGTGAGTGTTTTGCTTGCATGTATGCATTTGCATCACGTGTGTGCAGGGCCCACATTGGGCAGTAGACGGTGTTGGATCCCCTGGAACTGGAGTTATAGCGGTAAGCTGTTGAGTGATGCTGGGGACTCCAAGACCAGGGTGTGACCTTAGCCACTGAACCATCTCCCCAGACCCTGGTTCTGGTTCTTAAAAGGTTGAAAGATGCTGCTGCATTTTCCTCCCCCCCCAGGAAGCCTTGAAGTTAGCGCATGGTCTCTGCAGGACCACCACATGCAAAATGCCAGGTTCACGAAGTGATATATATTTGAGATGGTGTACAAAATGTGATGGTGGAAAAATAAGCTTTTATAAATGAATCATGGAAGAGACTATTCGCTCTTCAGTTTAGCGTTGCCTTTAAAGTGCACCATTTCATTTTGGCAGCTGGAATAAATGGCTGAGGAAAATTGAAGATAATTCACCATTTCAAGATGCTGCTGTCATAATGAATGTAGACCTATCCGGGGCGTGGATTTAAAAGTCATGCAGTATTTTAAGGCCAAGTATCCAGGAAATTCATGGTGATAGGATTTGAATGAGGGGATTAGGAGAAATGGAACAGAGCGCTGTCCTTGCGTGGCTGTTACCTATTGAGATGCTGTGTGTATGTGATACTATAAGCAGGAGCTTGTTATCCTGAGGTTGCCGTGGAGTTCAGCTCACCTTGGAGTTTATCAAAAAGGGTGGGTTATTTAAAAAACCTGATAACAAGGAAGTGCATCCAGTGTTGAGCTGGAGCGCTGGTGTGCTGGGAGATGGTGCTGTGGGACCACACTGGCAGTCTTGCATTTTATCCCTTTCCTTCTCCCGGCCATTCCTGGAGTTATTTAAACCAAAGCCGTTGGCTACACTACACCTGTCTTATATGGTCCTTAAGGAATTATTTAAGCTCACCTGTATACATGGCATCTTCGCTGTTTTCGAGGTTTTGATGCTTGTGATTTGGATGGTTTGTTAGCAGGACACAGAACATGGAATAATTTCAAAGTTTCTCCAGGGCACATTTTTTTTTTTAAATTTAAATAACATTTTTTTTCATTCATTTACGTACCAGCCATTTCCCCCTCCCTCCTCTCCTCCCACCCCTCCCCGTTGCCATCTACCCCTCTCCTCATCCACTTCTCCTCTATCTCTATTCAGAAGGGGACAGCTCTCTCATGGGCTTGCACAAAGCAGGAACAAGATACTCCAGCATGGAGAACAGGTTACCAAAAGCTAGCTAAACTCCAGGGAAAGGTTCTGTTCTCACTGTTAGAAGCCTTACTAAGAGACCAAGCTACACAATTATCACACACATGCAGGGGGCCCAAGTTGGTCCCATGCAAGCTCCCTGACTTTTGGTCCAACATCTTTGAGCTCCGGCGAGCTCAGGTCAGTTGTCTCTGTGGGTTTGCCCATCATGACCACACCACCCCTGGTATAATCCCTCCTCCCTTCTGCAGAACTCTGGGAGCTCAGTGCAGTGCTTGTCTGTGGATCTCTGCTTCTGCTTCCATCAGGTACTGCATGGAGTATTTCTGATGGCAATTAGGGAAGTGGCCAATCTGCTTATAGTAGATGGCCAGTTCAGGCACCCTCTCCACTATTGCTAGGAGTCTTAGTTGGGGTCCTTGTGGGCTCCTGGGGTGTGTGTCCCTGGCACCAGGCTTCGCCCTAACCCTGAAATGCCCCAATCAAGACATCTTTTGTGTTACTCTCCCCCTCTATCCTGCCCCCAACCCGAGTCCAGCACCCAGCCTGCCCAACCAGCTCCCTCGAGTTCCCGTCCCTCCATTCCTCCAGTCCCTGCCCCCAGTTTATCCAGGAGACCTTTTCTACTTCCCCTTTCCAGGGAAACGCATCCATCCGTCTTTTGGCCTCCCTTGTTATCAAGCCTGTCTTGAACTGTGGATTGTAGGTTGGTTATCCTATGCTTTACTCCTAATAAGCGCCTTTGGGTGAGTGTATACCATGTTTGTCTTTCTGGATCTGGGTTACCTCACCCAGAATAATTTTTTCTAGTTCCATCCATTTCCTGCAAATTTCATGAGGTCATCATTTTTTTTGTCTGTTTTTGTTTTTGCTACAACTGAGTAGTACTCCACTGTGTAATTGTACTACATTTTCCTTATCCATTCTTTGATTGAAGGGCTTCTAGGTTGTTTCCAGGTTCTGGCTGTTACAAATAATGCTGCTATGAGAATAGCCCTTGTGGTATGATTGTGCATCCTTTGGGTATACGCCTAAAATTGGTATAGCTCTGTCTTGAAGTAGATTGATTCCCAATTTTCTAAGAAACTGCCATATTGATTTCCAAGGTGGCTGTA